CTGCCCTTGGGGGCCAGGTTTAGTGATTGTGACTGAAACCTTTATGTCCGCCCCAGGAGGCCAGCTCAGGTCTTCCTGGACAGCCCCCTGGCCTCTGAGACCTCACAGGCTGGAGAGATTTAGGAGTCTGGGGAGGCAGCATGCATTTGCACGGTTGGTTTCTATACCGCCTCCCAACTGAGACATTTTTTCTTCCTGTTTCCAAAGCAAGCTCAGGATAACATCATGAGTGTCCAGCTGCTGCGGAGGGAGGTTCTGCAGAATGTCTCGGTAATCACACCTCCTGGGGGAAGGAGCATGGCTGGTCTTCTGTGGGTGGGGGTGAGGGGTTGTCTGGGGAGGCTGGCAGCAGACTTCCCTTCTGTCCCTGGCTGGGCCTACACAGGGCAGGGCTGGGCCTACACAGGACAGGGCTAGACAATGAGCCAAGGAAGTTAATGCATGGGGGCTTGCATGTGATGGCATGGGGCGAAGGTGGAGAGGAAGGCTTGTCAACATCGTCTCCACTTGGTCAGAGAGTTGCCATCCATCTTTCTCTTTTGCATTTGCTTGGGTCTCTTCCCATTTCCATCCTTTTTATCTCTCCCATTTCTGTCTTCTCAACACCCATCTAGTCAGCCAGCGGGCACACAGATGCTGCCCCGATCCCTAAGGTGCTGAGCTTTCTCTGTGGCTCTCCAGGGGCCTGAAGTGCAAGTTCAAGAATTCTGTGTGCCCTTCTCATTTCTTCTCCTTCCAGTCCGTTACCCAGCCAATTCACAACCACCACGTTTTGGGTGCTTTTCAGGGTGTGTCATCCCACATGGCTATTAAGGAGGTCATGGGGGTGGAAAAGAGAGAATATTGAGCAGATAGGGATGGGGGGAAAGGCTCAGAAACTAGACTCGTGTGTGCCACTGACCAGCTGTGTGACGCCGGGCAAGTCCTGCTCTCTGGGCCTGTGGTTCCTGCCAAAAGCCAAAGGCACCGCTGTCCATGCTGGCGAAGGCTCCTTCAGTCTCATGTTTAGCGGCATCTCCTGGAAGACCCTGCTTCCTTTGTGCCTACCTTGCATTGGCGACATGGGGGTTATTCACCCAGGGCCGGGGTGGGCCTAGGCCTCGGCTCCTCCATGACCCTGACCCTCCTCAGGGCGCTGAGAGCTGCTACCTCCTCCGTGCTTTGCTGAACTTCTACCTGAACACAGTGTTCAGAAACTACCACAAGAAGGCAGCTGAACTCCAGATCCTGAAGTCCTTCTCTACTCTGGCCAACAATTTCATTGTCATCCTGTCAAAGCTGCAGCCCGAAGTGAGTAGAACAAAGCTGGGACCAGGCCCCATGGGCAATGGTGTGTTTGGAGGAGACTCCGGTCCCCTTAATTAAGCTGGTCGTGGCTTTTATTACACGACAGGAGTTGTGAGAAAAGAGCACAGGCCTTGGGTACCAGCAGTTCTGGGTTCAAGTCTAGCACTGCTTCCAACCAGCTGGTTGGCCCTCTGCAAGGCGCTCAAGCTCTCTGGCCTTCAGTTTTTGCATATAAAATGGGATGATCACCCCTACTTGGTAAGGCCGCTGTGGGATCCAGCCTTGGCTCCTTGAGGACAGACTCAGCACTGTCCTCCGAGGCCTCGGGACCCGCTGGCATCACTAGGAAGGAGTGGGAGGGGCTTGCCTCTGCCCCCACCCAACACCCGGAACAACCTTTTCCCTGTTCTCCAGCAGGAAAATGAGATGTCTCCCATCCGCGAGAGTGCACGCAGGCGGTTTCTGCTGTTCCAGAGAGCGTTTAAGCAGGTAATCAAGGCTGGGAGCTCAGGGATAGCTTGAGCTGTGGCAGTCAGATGCCCCAGAGACCTAAAGCAAATGCAATGCAATTGCCTCCTCCAGGCTTGCACCAAAGCCACCTGACTTGGCAGGAGCACAGCCATATTTACATTAATTAGCATTTACTTTGCATAAACACCACCAATGACACACTCTATTTTCCTGCCAGTGTTCAAATGCTCACCTGGCTTAATGTGTGTGTGTGTGGGGGGGGGGGGGGGGGGGAATCATTGGAAAATATATTACTTTCTCCCAAATTAATCCAACAAAAAAATGCCAAATGTCATCCCCAGCTCCCCACCCCCAATATGGATGATTTCGATCACCTTTTAAAGGAATAGATACTTCCGCCCAAAAATAAATGAAGAGCAATTACACACGAAGGAAAGGGGCCACCCAGGCCTCAGTATGGGCCACCCAGTGGACTCAGCAGGTGGACTAGCCCCACCCACACTGGGATTCTAGGGTTCTTGTTGTCAGGGGCTCCAGATGCTTCTCCCTGGCTGCTGACGCACTGCTACCCATTGTCTTCAACCCCAAAGTGGGCAACACACATAGACGAGGGGCAGGTGATGGGTGGGGGAGTTACTCAGTGGCCACCCCAAAGGGGACGCCGCCCTGGTGTGGAGTCAGCCAGGTCTGGGAGTGTTGCTTGTGGCTCACATGGCCGATCTCCAACTCCTCTTTCCCTTCAGTTGGACATTGAAGCAGCTCTGACCAAAGCCTTTGGAGAAGTGGACATTCTCCTGACCTGGATGCAGCAGTTCTACCAGCTCTGACTTCCCAGACTGGAACGCCCTCCTCGTTCTCCACGTCATTTCGGGAGTGTCCCTCCCTGTGATGTTCTCTGGGCACTTCCCACTCCTACCCGGGGGTCCCATTTTTGGTCCAGGCTTATCCCCAAAGACTTCATTTATTTTATTTTATTTTATTTTATTTTATTTTATTTTATTTTATTTTATTTTATTTTATTTTATTTTATTTATTTTTATAGAGAGGAAGAGAGAGGAATAGAGAGTTAGAAACATCGATGAAAGAGAATCCTCAATCAGCTGCCTCTTGCACATCCCCTATTGGGGATGTGCCCTGGGACCTTTAAGGCCACAAACCGACGCTCTATCCACTGAGCCAAACTGGTTTCGGCAATATTTCATTCTTTAAGTGGCCACGACCATGGAAGTCTCCCTCGGATGCTGTGAAAAAGCTGCAAAGCAGGCTCCTATATTTATTACAACTCTATTTAATTCCCGTCAGTGTTTTAACTGATGTTATATTTATTTGTGAGATTAAGATCTGGGACGACACCAGAGACGATGCCCCAGGCTCCTCTTTTATCTTCTATGACCCTGGGAACCTTGTGGGGCAGAGACGGTGCTCAGTAAAGGCCTGATAAACTGGATATTTTTGCCTGATTTGAATTGTTGGGATATACGGTCCATCGTTTGGGCGTGACTATCCCATTGTCCTGTCATCTCCAGAAACAGAGTCCTGGGGTGGGGGCGAGGGGCACCAGTGTGAAATGTAAATGAGAAAAGATCTAATGTGCCCAACTCAAAGCAAGCTCATGAAATGTTTCACTTCGTGCCCACACTCCCCACCCCACTCACACCTCAGTTAACCTTGGGTGCCCGCCTTTCTTATCCTACTCATGCTTATCTGCCACTGGAGAGGGTGCCAGGGGCAAGCTGACATTGCTGATGGTGTGGTGGTACCTGGGTGGGCTCTCCGATCGGGTTGCCATTCCCTGCTAATAAAAGGCAGGGAACTCAAGTCTGGCAGCCTTTCCTTTCTGTTTCTGGACAAGGGCCCAGGGAGGCTGAGCCGTGTGTCTGGGAACGAGCTTTTTCCCAGCAGCAAGACTGGGCATCCTCTCGTCTCAGGCTCTGGCTTGGCTCTGTAGTTGACATAGGCGTAAAGATACAATGTCTGCCTATTCCCTTGCGCAGAAGACTGAAGGGTAAGAGTCTGTGGAGGAGATGGGACGTCTTCCTCCATAACGGAAGTGCTATTGCTGAGCTCCTGGCCCTCAGAGCCCAGGCCACTTTCCTTCCCCCCCGCTTGCTGGGACTATCTCAGCCATCCAAACCGTTACCTCTCTCTGCTTCCAGAAATGCACCTTATCTCATGGCCAGTTACTGGTGTATTTCTGGAAGCAGAGAGAGGTAACAGTGTGGATGGCTGAGATAAGAGCCATGTTAAGATTAAGATGGAAGAAGGATAAGGAAGCGACACAAACAATTTTTAGAAAACTGTATATTCTGCAGCTTTGGGGTGAAAGGTTCTATAAATGCCAATTAAATCCATTTGATCCAGAGTGTCCTTTAGAGTCTCTGTTTCCTAGTTAATTTTTTTGTTTGGAAGATCTAGCCGGTGATGTCAGTGGCGTTGAAGTCTCCTACTACCGTGTTTCCCCGAAAATAAGACATCCTCCGAAAATAAGACCTAGTGCAACTTTGGGAGAAAAAAAATTAATATAAGGCACTGTCTTATTTTTGGGGAAACAGGGTATGACTGTACTGTAGTCGACCTCTCCCTTAGAGTCCTCTAGAAGTGACAAAAACTATTTTTTAAAAGAGGGAAAATGCTAGGGTTAGAATCCTTAGGGGCATCAAGGAAGGGAGACTTAAAGGAGATGCAGGGACATAGGGAAATATATATGGTTCTGAAAATTTAGAATCCTTCCTCACATCAAAATAAATCACCCAGTCATAGGACACAAGATGAGTAAAACTCACTAGTAAGTGCCACCCTTCATGAAGACCAGGGCAAGGTGTTGCCAGGGGCGTTTCATACCAGGCCCCCTCCAGCTCACAGGGCTGAGGCATTGCCTCACGTTGCAGTCCAGGGATCTTCCATTGGTAGGAGGCCCAGGCCTGGGAAGGGTTCCAGAAGCAACAGCTATGCCTGGGCTCCGGCTCGCTGCCACATGGTCTAGAGCCAAGGCCGCAAAACCCCTGTGGTCAAGGATAGTCTGCAAACCCCACAGCCTGGTACAGGGCTTGAAAAGGAAGCGGGTGGCATCGGGACAAATGCCCTGCGTGGCCAGAAGCCACCTGAAGGCCACGGGGGTTTGCAAAGGCGTGCAGAAGAGCGCGGGAAGTGAGCTAAGCTCAGGGCGATGTGGCAGAGACAGGATGGAAGGGGAGATGTGGGACATTAGGATCAGGTGTTGGAAACCAGCAGACAAACAAGACTCATTGGCGCAGAGGCCTGGGCCCCGGGGGACAGCTGGAGGGGTGAGTGAGGCAGGAGATATTGACGTATTCATCTGCATCAGCGTCCTCCATCATGGCGGCAGGCTGGTGGTAAACGCTCATGTATTCGCAGCTGATCTTCAGAGATGGCTCGTGGGGCCAGGGAGCTTCCGACACCTGGGAAAACCAAACAAGAAGCATCACTGAGTCTGTATGGAGAGATTCTATATTTCTCCAGCCGAATCCCCACAGCGGGCCATGGCGGGCATGCGTATGGTTGCTGACTTCCAGAAGGCAGCAACACAGAGGTGGCTGCGCTCCACCAAGCGTCTCCGCCCTGGGGATTTTCAGGACAGCATCTCACCCGAGATAACTGGAGAACACTTAGATCTAACGTGGGCAGGAACTGCCTTAAATGGGGCTCAGACTGAAGTCACGTGGCAAAGCACCAGCCTGAAGGAGACTTGGCTGCCAGAGGAGTTTCCCTCTGGGATTAGATGGAATAAATATACATCTTCAGGGGAGTTATTCAGAGGCAGCTGAGTCACTCCTGTGCGCTGGAAGGGCTTGGAGAGACAGTGACGTGGCGGGACAGTGCATTCCAGAAGGTGCTGGGTGGTGAAGGGGAGAAAGGCAGCAGGGCCTGTGGGCACAGAGTGCTCCTTTTCCCAGACAGAAACTTCAGAACTACCTGCCTTCCGGATGAGTCTGTTCTCGGGGGACCAGGCTGACCCACGACCCAAGAAGGCTGGCGTGGTGATGGGACACATGTTTACTTATGTATTTATTTTAATTATATATTTTTTATTGATTTCAGAGAGGAAAAAGAGAGAAAGAGATAGAAACATCAATGATGAGAGAGAATCATTGATCAGCTGCCTCCTGCACACCCCACACTGGGGAATCCAGCCCACAACCCGAGCATGTGCCCTTGACCAGAATCAAACCTGGGACCCTTCAGACCACAGGCTAACAACACTCTGTCCTCTGAACCAAACCAGCTAGGGTGTGGGTCACATGTTCAAGCACAAGTGCTGAGAACCAGTAGTCCAGCCCCCTGAGCACAGTAGGCCCCCAGGTAGTGCCCATGGAAAGAACCTGTGGCTTTTTGAACTTAGCTCCCATTGTCTGTTATCATTTACCATTTGAGATCAATTTATTTGGCTTTAAAAATGAAAACATTCCCCGTGAGGGCTAAAATAGCCACTCATTAATCTTACACACCTTGTTAGGAACTCGTTCCATCAAGATTTTTGTCCCTAATGGTACAAAAGAGTTTCAAGCAAGGAGGAAGGATAAAAGTTGAACAAGCTGACAGGGTGAGGGTTGTATGGCCACAGGGCAGTTCTAGACAAAAGGGTGTGAATGAGGGCAGCGTGGGTAGAGTCTGGGCACGGCTGGACCTGCCTTAGCTACCGTGAACCCTCTCCAGCAGGGGCGAGTGACCGCAATCCCAAGCAGCTGGAGGTGACTGTGGCAGAGCTGTCACTGGCTGCTGGCATCACTTTTAGCACAAGAGTGCCCAGCCGGCGACTACATTTTCCAGCCAATGAATGCGGGAGGAAGTGATGCGTCTTGAAGAAGCAGTGTTCTTTCCCTCCCTTTCTGAGCTGGAGTGTGGCGTTGAGCACTGACCATGGTCCAGGCAAGATGCCAGGGATGGGGAAGCAACAAGACAGGAGGTGTTTTAGCCCCTGGGCGACCTCCTGCCCTTACTTGGGAGAAAACAGACTTCCATCGTGTGAGGCCTCTGGTTTAAGGTCCATTGCTTTAGCTAGTCTACACCCTAATTTAAAAAGACTTTGGCTGCCCTAGCGGGTTTGGCTCAGAGGATAGAGTGTCAGCCTGCAAACCAAAGGATTCCAGGTTCGATTCTGGTCAAGGGCATGTACCTTGGTTGTGGGCACATCCCAATAGGGGGTGTGCAGGAGGCAGCTGATCAATGTTTCTTCCCTCTCCCTTCCTCTCTGTAAAAAAAATCAATAAAATATATATATTTTAAAAAGACTTTGGCTACACTTAGTTTTTTCTGGTTTCTAAGCAAACAGTGCTTTAGCTACTGTGGGCTACTTGAAAGATTAAAGTCATTTCCCCCCCCCCCCTGAATTTGGGGAGGGGGGAAGATGAGTAGATGGTTTGCCCATCTGCCAATGGCCACGGACAGAAACACGAGCTCCTATGTCTATCCCTAGATTTCAAAAGGAACCCTCCCCACCCCAGGTGCTGAATCCTCTCTACATCTTGCCATCTGCCAGGTCATCCTCTGCGCTTCACTGCCTCCCGTGATGGGTGAACGAGCTCCTCTCATCTCAGAGAGCCCAGGTCTCCCTCCTAGTAAGGTAAAAGTGTGTAGCTCCCACCCCCTTCAGGCCTCCTCGAAATAGACTCTCTCCCGCGAGAGCCCTTCGTGTGCGAATTACCACCCACCAGCCTCTACTTGGCACCCGCAAAAATGCGTGGCTAGCAGCCAGGTAGCTAAGTTTACCCCATGGGCGGGCAGGCCCTGCAGGGACACCCCTGAAGGAAGAAACGGGGACTAGTTCCCTGGTGGTGCGGTAGCAGCTGGGAAAGCGCAGCCCCGGAGCTACTGGCACGCGCCGGATGATGGTCCCTGTCCGCGCCCAGCTTGGGACCTTACCTGGGTGGGGCAGAGGGGGCAGAGCTCACCTGCAGTGGAGCGGGCGGCGCCGAAGCTCCGGGGCCCGGGATTGGTGTCTCCAGGTCACCTGGGGGAGCGGGAGGCCGGGATGAGGGCCGGGGAGGAGGAGCTGGCCCTGCGCTCCGGCTTTTCTCCTGCGCGCCTAGGAGCCCGTTGCTCTGGCTGCTCCAGCTCATCCAACCGAAGGCTGGGACCCCGTATCCTGCTCTCATCCGCCCCACTGCCCCTCCCACCGCCTGATCACTATTTCGTCCCCCCGCCCCTGATCCCCTTGTCCTCCCCGCTCCCCCGCACCCTCCCTTACCCTGTGGTCCCCAGGCCCCCCTCCAGCCAGCTCACCCACCGCCCCAGCTTACCCGCGGAGTGCGTCCCCCGGTCGCGCCGGGGGCAGGCGCTGTAGACGTTGTTTTGGGAACGTGGCCGCTGGGACACGCGGGGCCGCTGCGCCTGGGGCCGCTGGAAGGCCCCCATGGCGCTCATCCTCTGCCGGCTCGCCCGCCTGGAGAGGGCTTCTCGGCGCAAAGCCACGGAGAGGGGAGAACGGCTTAGGGGGCGCGGCGCCGGCCCACCCCCCACGGAAGACCAAAGCGCCCCGGATGCTTCGTCCCCACTTCCAGGTGATTCACCCCCATCCCTGGTTCCCCGAACCCCAGGCCGCACCTCTAAAGCTCCCCGGTTTCCCCGGGATCCAGCAGGGGGGTGTGCTCCGGGCTCAACCGCTCACCTTGCTTCCTTTGAATGATCCTGGTCACCAGCATCCCCAGAAGTGTCAGCAGGATGAGGCTCAGGAAGATGGGGATCAGGAGCTGAAACCCCTGGTCTTCCCTTGGGGACGCTGGGCCGTGGTGGGAGGCTCTGAGGGGGGGCAGGAGAGGCAGAGAGGGGAGAGGGCCGTCAGGGAGGAGGGAGGCCTAAGGAAGCACTGTTGAGTGGCCACTTTTTGGAGGTGGCTCAGGTTGTCCCTTTGTTAACGGAGTTTTTTTCCTCCTCCCAACAAGGAGCCTTGTTTCTGGAGTCAGGAAACCTGGGTTCACATTTAGATTCCAGCCTCCTTCGTTGGGAGGAGAAAATGCTGCCTCCTAGTGGTCTATTGCAGCACTTTCCTGGAGCATCTAGCCTTGAGAGCAGTGCTGTCCAATAAGAAGCATAGCCTGAAGTCATATACGTAATTGAAAATGTCCTAATAGCTAGATTGAAAAGGTAAAAGGAAACACGTGAAGGTACTTATCACACGTAACAGTTCAGTCGCTAATTTTATTCTCGTTTAGTTTCTCCCCATCAAAACAGATGTTGAATGAATGCAGAGGGACTGCAAATGTGGGGTCTGGCTTCTACAGGATCGCCCGCTGGGACATTGGCAAGTATATTCATGTTCAGAGCACTACAGAGTTAATGTGCTACGCTCACAGGTAGTCCACTTCACAGAGGCCTTCTAGAGACAAAGCCAAGAGGGGTCTTGGCTGGTAGACATTTCAGTGGGTCTCCGAGTTCTAGACTATTTTGCCGGGAGTTCTAGTTCTAGCCCATCCTGGGTGTGGAGGCCTCTCACCTCTGCCTGTGAAGCCTGGTGTGCTGGTTGTAGCTGGCTGTCGGGGGCCTGAGCAGCCCCTCCGGTGCTGAGGTCTTTGAGCTTGTGGTGGATGGCAGGCGGGTGGTGGGCTTTGACCTGGAAACTCGAGGGCGGTGGGTGACTGGGGTGGTGGGGGAGGAGTGCTGTGCTGGAGGGGCCTCCGTCGTCGGAGCGGGTGAGGTTTCTGCAGGAGACAGCAGGAAAAAGTGATCTTCCATCTGACACCCTAGTCTCCAGCGGGGGTGGGCCACCATCTCTGTCCTGAACACAACTCTCCCCTAGGCGACCTTCGTTCTTGCACTCCTCGGGGCCTGGCATGCCTTCTTAGCATGCCGTCCACACCCAGGAAATTCTACCCAGATCTGCTTCAAACACCGTTTTCTCCAGGCAGCCTTCCCCGACTTCCCAGGCAGAACAGCCTGCCCTCCTCTGAGCATGGAGAAAACTTGTTTTCTGCCATGTGCTTGTCTATTCTCCCCCCTCCCACATCTGTCAGGGGCACATAATATCCCTCTTGGCGCCCAGCAGGGTCCTATAATGACACTAATCTATCTACCCCACAGGGTAGATGTGATGGCAATATTGCACATCAAAATGCATTTGAAACAGGAAAATGATATAGAATGTAAAGGTATCATTTTTTTTTTTCATTGCAAAATAGAGTTGTTAAAATCACTGTATGCCAGCAAGAGGAAGACAGCCCTGTGGGCAGCAGGAGTCATAATGAGCTCCAGCTGGGAGCCTTCTGCCCAATTTCTGTTTCAGCAGTCATTCATAAAAGAGCTGGGTTTTGTGAATGGAGCACAAACTCCATTGCTTGCATTGCCACCTAGTGGTGATGTAAGTTCTGCGACTAGAGTCTGATGTCCAGGCTGTAGGCTAGGCTTGAAGGACACAGAAACAGACTTCAGGGGGGGGTACCCTCTCCTGAGGCAGGGAAACACACAATCCCAGACTCCACCCTGCTCTGCCAATCACTCTGAACGAACACAACCTCCTTCCCTTTTCACAGCGCCCCATCACCACCTCCTCTCCCACTCCAGCTTCGGGAACTGACCTTTGGAGAAGACTTCCAAGGAACTGGCAAATACAGGTTTCTGGAACCAAGGGGGCATCTCCATAGGTGGAACTTCCTGAAGCCAGGGTGGCATCTCCTTGGGTGGAACTTCCCGAAACCAGGGTGGCATCTCCTTGGGTGGAACTTCCCGAAACCAGGGTGGCATCTCCTTGGGTGGAACTTCCCGAAACCAGGGTGGCAGCTTCTCCTCCTCCCAGAATGGGTCATACTCTACAGGTGGCATGAGGAATGCACTGGTGGGCTCTGGAAGGAGACGGAAGCCTGGGGAAGGGGCAGTGGTCTGAGCTGAAGCTGACTCAGCCAAGGTGGGTGGCAGCGAGGGGATGAGACAGAGTCCACCAAGAGGGGCAGACAAAGAAACTCTTTCACCCCAACCCAATCCACCCAGAGGCCACTGGGTTTTTAGGATGTTGAATCGGTGCTGCTGATATGTGAGGGAGTTGGTGGAGAAAGACAAGACTCGGCAGAAATATAGAAAGGATCAGATCCTACAGCAACACGTTTGGCCTACAGATGTGGCCTGAGAAATGACTGCCTTTCCTTTATGTGCACCCCGGATATTTCTCCTGGGACCATTATGTCTTTTTGCTCCCCATTTCCTCCAGTCTCAGAGCCTCTCCTCAATCTCAGCCCCCACTCCCCGCCTCATGCCCCTGGCAGGATGGATGCAATACAACAACAAGGAGAGCGCCAATCTTGTTTGCATAGACAATTCCGTGGACCATGAATTTAACTGACTATGGGGTCCACCTATACAAATCTTGGTTATTATTGGACTGGCTAATATGGCACTAGCATAAGAGTCTGGGGACTGCCAGAGTCCGCTGGCCGTCTTAACCTTCTGAACGGAAAGGTTTGCCAGAGGCCTGAGCCTCCATCAGGTCGGGCACCTACCACTGCGGACATCCAGGGTGACTTTCTGGGTCTTGCCCCAGTCTGTGCGTCTGCCTTTCCCACAGGCATAGACTCCGCTGTCACTCTCTGTCAGCTCTGTCACCTCCACTAGGAATACATTCTGGTCTGGACACAGCTTCAGGGTGACTCGGTTCTTGTATTCCTTCCTGACAAAATTCATGCTGGACACCACGGTGAAACACGCTTGCGATTTGGCTGTCTCGCGGCACAGATACACCCTATCATACACTTCAGGAAGTGGGCACTCGATGGTAATAGATCCGCCCACCATTCCCTCCAGCTTGACTTCTGGGAGCATCAGGACTCCAGATACTGCAGGAAGAGGGAGCGAATGGACAGGAAGCCTCATTACCAGCCGTACTCCCAATTCCAGCCCTCTTTCCAGCCCAGACCCCAGTCCAGCCTCACGCTTATCCCCAGAACTGCTCATCCCCTTTATCAGCCCAAGCCTCAGCCAGCCCTCCGCGTCAGTGCTATCCTCATCTCTAGCCCTAGCCTCATCCCCAACCTTTTCCCAGGCCCACCCCTCTTTACAGCCTCAGTCCAACTCTATGTTCATCTCTGTGCCCAAATTTGTCTCAGCTACGCTCCTCCCCAGCCCAGGCCTGAACATAACCCTCAGCTCATCACCAAACCCATGTGCAGGAGGACACCAGCCCCCTAAGAACATGGTAAAAAAGTACTCCACTCCAAGGAGAGAGGATATTCCATGGTAAACGCAAACAGTGCACAACCCAGGTGACTTTGGCGTGGCATTGGGAGGCATGGAACCATTTTGCTGCAGCAGGTTTTTCTGTCTAGTTTTGCTTTGCTCAGATCCATTCAGCCAGAACAACCATTCCCACCCAGTTCTATTTGTTATCTCAATAAGCATATATTGAATGCCTTTCAAGGGACAATAGATAGTTGGTATTCCTCCCCTCACAGAAAGACTCATTTAGTGGGTGGTACAAATGCTAGTGTCACTCAGTAGTTGAGTGTTAACCCATGAGCTAGGAGGTCATGGCTTGACTTCTGTCAGGGCACATATTGAGGCTTGATCCCTAGTAGGGGGCATGCAGGAGATAGCTGATTGTTGATTCTTTCTCCATGTTTCTATCTCCCCCTTTCTGATAGAATAATTAAAAACAAAACAAAACAAACAAACAAACAAGCAAAACTACGATCTCTTGGCTGCAACTCTACATTCTTCTTAACACACACACACACACACACACACACACACACACACACACACATACTCACACCCCACAAATGGACAGCTACTATAGCACAGTGTCATAGATCCCACGAAGAGATAGACACTCAGGGCTCCTTGGAAGCATCAAGCAGGGCACCTGGTCTAGGCTGTTGCAGCGGGATGGTGTAGTTTGAGGAAGGCTTTCCAAAAGAAGTGATATCTCAGTTGTGACCTGAAGGCCTGGGCATGGAGGGCAACTGAGGGGGTAATGAGGGTCTTCACTGCAGTGGGAGGCAGAGAAGGAAAGCAAAGGTATATGTGGGTTTGTGTGCCTGTGTGCATGGGTGTGTATAGTGTGTGAGCCTTGGCGAGGGGCTGGAGTGAGAAGGGATAAAAGATGTGGTTCATGAATCCCTGACATCAAAAGCTCTGCTTTGGCCAAAGAAGGCAGGTCTAATGCAGTTGGAGAGGAAGGTAGGGCTAGTGGCCAGTTAAGAGGGTCCAATATGTGTCTGCATATTTCTATCAAGATGGTTCCTAGGGTGATGTGTGTGTTGCAGTGGGGCTGGGGCCTTAAATGGAGGAGGAGAGATGCTTCCAACAATGAGAACAGCCCCCATATGGGCCAGGATGAACACATGTTAATGGGGGCGGGGGGAGAGAAGATCATGAACTTCCTGAAATTCATCCACAGATCACACATCAAGAATAGCTGCTAGGGCCCTAGCCAGTTTGGCGCAGTAGATTGAGCATCTGCCTGCAGATCAAAGGGTCCCAGGTTTAAGTCTGGTCAAGGGCACATGCCCAGGTTGCAGGCTCCATCCCTAGTAGGGGACATGCAAGAGGCAACTGTTCAATGATTTGCTCTCATCATTGATGTTTCTATATCTCTTTCACTCTCATTTCCTCTCTGAAATCAATAAAAATATAAATTAAAAAAAATAGCTGCTGAGAGTCAAGGAAAGAAGTGGGGGCTTGTGGCTTCTAGATGAGCAGAGACCCGAGGAAGACATTCAAGGAGAGGGAAGAAGAAATAGCCATGGGAGCATGGGGTGTGGGAGAGGGGCTAGAGAGGGGCTGGAAGGAGCATTTGCATATTACTATCTAGAAGTGCAACTGTTGTAACATGCTAGGGAAAAGCAGAGGGGCCAGCCACAAATGTAAGATCTGACATGGAAACCCTTACATGAATGACCTAACCCTGCTTTAAATCCGCTGGGACTTGAGGCATGTGTGGTCATCTCGTGATTGTAACATGGCAATGGAAAGGTGACCTGTGCAAAGGACAAAGACCCAATTGAGGGGGAAGGGGAACCACCTGATGTGTCCAGACAACCCACACTTGCATATAAATCTCAACACCTGTGAGTGAACACATCAACATTTTGGGACTAACTCAGTGAGAAATGGGCACGGATGCTGCTTTCCTAAGAGCAAGATGCTATAAAATGGCCATGTGCATGACAGAGCAGAGAGGGGTCAGCCCCTAGGCAGGCACCTCCCGTGGCCACCCTCCACTCACCCCTGGCTTGCCCAGATCCTCTGTTAGGGCCAAATGTTTGTGTCCCTCAAAAATCCGTGTGGTGAAATCCTAACCCCCAACGTGCTGGTATTAGGAAGCGGGGCCTTTGGAAGGTGATTAGATTAGATGAGGTCATGAGGTGGGACCCTCATGAAGGGATTAGTGTCCCTATTCTCTCTCTGCATACAAGAAGAGGTCACACAGGTGCACAGGGAAGATGGTGGCCATCTGCAAGCCAGGAAGAGGGCATCTGCTGGCACCTTGATCTTAAGCACCTGGTTTCCCGAACTGTGAGAAATAAACATCTGGTGTTTAAACCCTGTAATCTATGGTATTTTGTTGCAGCAGCCTGAGCTGACTAAGGCATCCTCATTGTGCAAACCCTGGATGGGTAAGCACCAGAAAAGCTGCTGGGTACACTGAGCTCTGGTCCCAAGGAAGCACCAGTTGGCAACATGAAAATGACCAGACCCCAGCTCTCCTTGGACTTCAGAGTAGCTTGTAACAGGCATCCAAGGCTTAGAAAAGCAGATTTCCCCAACAGAAGAAAGATAGATGTAACTTCCTGGTTTAGAACCGTGCACAGTGTGCTAAGATTCATGTGGAGAGAACTTGCTTGATCCAGGTTGGGTCTAGGCACCTCATTGTAAACAAGCATCCAGGTGTCCTTAAAGTTTTGTGATTCTGGGCTAAAACTACATTTCCAAATGATTCCTAGGAGAAAGGGAGGGGTGAAAGGCTATACAAAGGGACCAAGCTATTTAATGGCATTTTAGCTACTAAGTAAGTGACATCTATAATTTGGCAACTTGATTTATACTGGTGCTGTAGGGGAGGAAAGGGTATATGCAATTTCAAAAGTTACTAATTACATAATTAGATATAAATGGGTGTTTGGAACATGAAAATAATGTAATTTTCAAAATGCAAAATAAGGTCAACGGTCACATGGCCTTGACTGGTGACAGAACTCAGGAGATGGATTCTGGATTCCACAAAGCGATAATTTTCAGGGAGAGGGGAGTGATAATGAGGAGCTTATAACTCAAGTCATAGCAGAATCTCTGAAAGAAGGAAGCTGGCCTGATACGTTTACATTTATCAGACAGATCAGGCTTTGATAAGAGGATGAGAAACATCCAAATCAACTTTTCACTTCTGCATACACCAGCCTATGTGGGCCCAGACCTGCAGCCTGTCTTTTGTCTTTTCACAGTGAATGGAGTGTCCCTTTTCCTACCAGAAGCCAGTGCCTTCATCTGTCCCCTGAGCCTACCTGCTCACATTCCCCAGAACTTCTCTCCTGCAATTGCCTTTCTTTCCCTGCCTCGTTGCTTTCTCCTCTTCCTGCATCGCCATAGCTTCCACACATGTGCCATAGTGCCGTATTGAAAACCCCTCGGGTGACTTTTGTTTCCACTTCAGCCGTCACCTGTCTCTGTTCTCTTTCTCAAACGAGCCATCAAAATCACTGAATCCACGTCCACGCCTCCCAGTTCCTCTTCTACCTACACCTGTCAGAAGTTTATCTCCAACATTCCGCTGAACGTGCTCTCATCAAAGCCACCCAGTGTTTTCCTATCGCCACGTTTAACGGTCGCTTCTTTGTCTTCATTTTACTCACCCTCCTGCAGCACTTGATGAAATTGAGCCCTTGAAACACGTTCTGCCCTTGTCTTCCCTGACACCACACTTTCAATAGCTGCTCCTTTTCAATCTCCTTACTTACTGCTTCTCTAGCCACCTCCCAGTGTTGGGCCACCCCAGGGCCTTGTACTTGGGCCTGTTCCTTTTTCTGTCCTCCATCACTCCCCGAATACTGGCTTATTTACTCCTGTGGCTTTTCGTGCCAACTCTATACAGAGTTCACCCAAACATGTATCTCCAGTCTTGTCTTTACCTCTGGGCTCCAGACTTGCCTTCCCAATGTTTACACTTGGATTCCATTTGAATATCTAATATGTGTTTCAAACAAACAATGGCCCAAAAAAAAAAAAAATGGACTCTTGATTTCTCTTCCAAAATCCATTTCTACCCTTGCCTTTCAGGTCAAATTCATAAAATGTTTTCTACAACCAAGGTCCATAAGTTTAAAACTTGTATTTTCTATGTAGTTTATTGTTTCAGATCTTATATGTAGGTCGTTGGTCCGTTTGAATTAATTTTTGTAAATGGGGATAAATTGTAATTTAGTTTCATTCTTTTGCATGTAGGGAAGTAAAGGCAGAAAGAAATGAATGGAACTATATCAAACTAAAAAAGCTGCATAGCAAAAGAAACCAACAGAACAGAAAGGCAACCAACCAAATGGGAGATATTGGCAAACAATAGCCAGACAAGTGGTTAATTTTCAAAATATATAAAGAACTCATACAACTCAGCACCAAACAAACAATTCTCTTAAAAAATGGGGAGAGGATCTGAAGAGACAACTCTCTCAAGAAGACATACAAAAGGTCAACAGATATAAGAATAGATGTTCAATTTGACTAGCTCTTAGGGAAATGCAAATCAAAACTACAATGAGATGCCACCTCACACCTGTTAGGATGGCTGTTACCACCAAGACAAGTAAAAACAGTGCTGGGGAAGTTGTGGAGAAAAGGGGACCCTCATTCACTGCTGGTGGGAATGTAGACTGATACAGCCACTATGGAAAACAGAATGGCCAGTCCTTAAGAGCTACCATGTGACCCAGCCTCCCCTCTTCTATGTATCTACCCCCAAAATTTGAAAACCTTTATTCACAAAAATACATGTACCTCTGTATTCATTGCAGCATTATTCCTCATGGCCAAGACATGGAGGCAACCAAAGTGTGCTTTCGTAGAGGACTGGATAAAGAAGATGTGGACATACACACAATGGGATACTACTCAGTCATAAGAAAGGATGAAATACTGCCATCTATGGCAACATGGGTGGATCTTGAAAATGCTAAGTGAAATAAATCAGAAAAAGCTAAGAACAATATGATTTCACTCATATGTGGAATATAGACCTAAAACTCATATAAACAGACAAAAGTATGGTAGATACCAGTGGGAAGGGGGTGGGAGAGTGGTGAGTGGGGAAGGGGGCTAAATATATGGTGAAGGAAGATGATTTAACTGGGTGGTGGGCACACAGTGCAATACACAGATCATGTATCATAGAAATGCACACTTGAAACCTATATGATCCTATTAACCATCCCCCAATAAATTTCATGGGGAAAAAAAAAACAATAAAGAATAAAACAAAACCGATTTCTTTACAAGCTCTTCCCATCTCAGTAAAGAGCACCAACATTCATCTAACTGCTGAAGCCCAAAACTCATCCCCACATGAAAGAATCAAGAACAAATTGTAAGTGTGTGTGTGTGTGTGTGTGTGTGTACCAGGTCACAACATCTAGTGTATGCATGTATTATATTACTATTACTATTATTATTATTATTGGTAAACAAGGTTTGAAAGTCTATACCTTGAGATACTGCCTTACTTTATTAGGCTCCAGGCATGGTGGCCTATAGCTTGGGCCTCATGCATTGGGCTCTGGGGACCATGAATGCAAATAAAAGCCCATATATTTTATGTCTAAATATTTTTAAAGGTATAAAAAAAAGCTAATAAACTGTTAAATAAAGTTTGTACTACCCCCCTCTCTTTACAAATTTACACACTCCTTGCATGTTCACTCTAAAACATGGCTATAAGGTAAAGAAAGGCCCCAACGTCCCTGCCCCAGCCTCTTGCTTATCTCTCTGCTTTTCTATTATCCCTGGCTCCTGCCAGCACCACAAGGGTACTGGTATATACACGATGGATTCCCCAGCTGGCAAGTATAGTCTCCATCTATCTCCTTCTCAAGCAGACACATGTGCCACCCTTTAATTGGTCAAAGGATAGAAGACCTTGGGATGGAAGAACACACAGTCATTGGAAGTGGGTCTGCAGACATTTGGACAAAGAATTCAGGGTCTAGCCGAAACCGGTTTGGCTCAGTGGATAGAGCGTCAGCCTGCAGACTGAAAGGTCCCGGGTTCAATTCCAGCCAAGGGCATGTGCCTTGGTTGTGGGCACATCCCCAGTTGGGGGTGTGCAGGGGGCAGCTGATCAATGATCCTTTCTCATCAATGTTTCTAATTCTCTGTCCCTCTTTTCCACTCTGTAAAAAGTCAATAAAATATATTTTTTTTAAAAAAAGAAAAGAATTCAGGGTCTAGAAGAGGGGGTTAGGAGTGGATTTGGTATGGGCACATTCCATTGGGCCTGTGAATCCTCACCCTGTGAGTATGAGAACAAATGGAGAAGAGCCAGGCCCAGAGCCTGGACTCCTCTGGCCCAGATAGAATGATGGTGTTGTTTAGAACAGATGGCAGTGGTACAATTTAGGTACTTTCACCTTCTGCTCCCACCCAACCCCTCTTCCCCCTGAGGTCTGAGTTTAATTTTACTCACATTGTGCTCACTTTTGTCCTACTACCTCTCACCCAGTCTGACGCTTCATTAAACCTCTGTTCCCTTGGGCTTTATAGGGGTTTTTGATCTTCAATTTGACAAACATTTGACTTTCTTCCATACTCAAGCCATCAGAAAGAAAGCAAGTCTGAATAAAAAAATACATTTAGACCATCAAGGAGATGAGTGTTTAATCAACAAAATGTGGGCAACACCCCAAACCAGAATGCAAGGCAGAATGGGATCAGCTATTGGGCTTCCAAAGAGGAGGTTCTGGAAAGTATATAGTAAGGAAGGCGATGGTTGAGATTATCTTTGAAAGACTCAGAAGGTAGAGGTGAGCAGAAGAATGTTCCTGGCTGAAGAAATGGGATGATCAAGGACTAATGGCAGTAAGTCTAGACTAGCACATGTTCAAGAAGTCCTGCTTAGCTGGAGGTTAGAGAAGTGCTGGGGAAGGTGATAAGCTCAGAAATACAGAGAAACACAAGAGAGAGGTATGTAATCCAGCAGGCAGTTGGAGGACAATCCTATGATTGGCGTCAAGCTCTTAGGAAAATTAATCTGGAACTATAGATAGGTCAAATTGCAGGAAGAGGGAAAAATAGGTACGAGATGACTGTGTTCTTTTTGTTTCCATTCCCCCTGTTACCTCTCTAGTAGAGACAGCCATTGCTTCTTATCCTGGGAAATCTAGAAAGTACGTGAATTGGCCATTGATTGAATCGCAGTATGGCTGGGCACAAATGGAAAGAGGTTGTGAAGAGCCATTCTAACATTTTGCAGCTCCTATCAGTGATAGAGAGATTAGCTGGTTTGGATAGTGACCAATGAGACAGCTGTAAACTGAGATACCGAGTTCGGGAAATGGACTAGGGCTACCGAATAGAGTAAGGAGTCTTCATTTAGAGTTGAAAGTTGAAAATCAGGAGTGAAAGAGATCTAAAAAAAAAAAAGGAGTGTAGAGATAAGAAGAAAGAACTTTGGTGGCACTTGTTTTAAGGTTCCAAATTAATAGGCTCTTCATCGGGGCAAAGTGACACCTTTAGCCCTTGTGAACCCAACAGGAGATGTGTGTGGAATGGAGAGAGGGATGCTAGCAGGGAGTGGGAGGTCCTCCAATGCCTCATCTGGCCTCCATTCATGTCCTGCCCTAGGTATTGGTCTGCAACTAAATCTGTCCAGAAACCTCAGAGCTGGAGACACCAGCCACTTCTCTCTACCTGTGTCCAATTCAAACCTCTTAAGCCACGTGAGCTCTTTTCCCACAGCACTTACCTGTGGGCAGGAAGTAGATGAACCAAAGCCAGAGGTCCATGGCTCCTTCCAGAACAACGTCCCATTCAAGGGCCCCAGGAGAGGGGGACAAAGATCCACTGCTCACCCAGGAACTGTCACAATCTGGGGCTTGAAAGAGATTTCTGGCCCATGTGAGGATGATTTGAAAATGAGGAAATGACTATCCTCTTATTTGCTTGCTAGTCTTAGACCAAAAAAGAAAACATCAGCAAACCACAACGGAAGTCAGGAGTGGAGAAAACATGTTGTGTTGAATGAGATTGGGTCACCAGGTTCAAAGGGCTTCTAGGCAGATCCCAAAGACCACTGGAAAATGCCAGGCATGACGTTTCTTTGTCTTGGGCACTTTCTCTTGGAGGGGCCTCCCCTGCTTTATGTGTATTCATGGATGTCTTAGCCACAGTCCATTTTTTCTTGCCTTCAGGATAAAAGAGCCTCATCATCACTTTTCTTGGTCTGAGGGAGGCTGTGTGGACAGAAGCTTGTGCCTGAGTCAAAGGCGCTGGTTGTGGCCCTTGAAATTATCTGACAATTATTTGAGCATCTACTATATGGGAATACTATGGATTTTGAACCTTGATTTCTTTATCTAGAAATAAAGGTGGGACTAGATGATCCCTGGTTTTCCCTCCTACAAAACATTGTTCCTGGGGTCTTAAACCTCGTATCAGCCACCCTTCATATCTCTTATGTCTCCCTAAGGGGCTGGCTCTGGCAGGAGCCCAGGCTCCTGTCCAATGACCTCAGGGGTGATGACAGGAAAGAGTGTCAGACAGAACTCTGCCTAAAATCACAGCTATACCTTCAGGACCTCAAGTGTCCAAGGGCATAGTCAAGTGTAACTGAGGAGAGAGACACTGAGGCAATCAGCCATGAGGTATCATGGGTTCCAGTCAGAAGTCCTGGGTTCTGGTCCTGCCTTGGCACTTTCTAGCTTTGAGCCTCAGTTTTGTCATTGATAAAATAGGGATGGGCCCTGCCTTGCCTACCTCACAAGCTTTCATGAGACCCACAAGGAACCAAGCTCGTGGAAGTACTTTAAAAGAACTTTCATATGAAGATGTTCACCGAAACCAGTTTGGCTCAGTGGATAGAGCGTCGGCCTACGGACTAAAGGGTCCCAGGTTCGATTCCTGTCAAGGGCATGTACATTGGTTGCGGGCACATCCCTGGTAGGGGGTGTGCAGGAGGCAGCTGATCGATGTCTCTCTCACATCGATGTTTCTAGCTCTCTATCCCTCTCCCTTCCTCTCTGTAAAAAATCAATAAAATATATTTAAAAAAATATGGAGATGTTCGGGGATGTTACTTATCAGAGAACTTCCAAAGCTTCTTTCCTGGATGTCTGGATGTTGCATCCCAGGTCGGTTCCCAGGGCCACACCTCTGGGTGCAGCTGCCTCTGGTGCCCACGGGGGACTGAGGCTTCTTCACATCCTTCTGAGTGGAGGTAGCTAACAGTCTCCAGGCTCCACAGTGGTCCTTTGCACACAGCTCTCCTCATCCCCCTTGCCCCCACACATCAGATTTATCACAAGATCTCCAAAACACAAAGCAATGACGTCCGCAGTGGAAGTCGAGTGTGAGGCTCAGAGCAGGTGCAGAGGAAGCGTGTGTGGGGGTGGGCAACCTGCCCTGCCCACTTTATCTGTGTCTCCACTGGCCCAGAGCAGCTGTACTTGTGACTTCCTGCAACCAACGTGTCAGTGGACAGCCTCAGGCCTCTGATTAGAGTGAGTGAAGGCCAGAGGTCTCAGGTCCCCTTAGCCTCCACCCTTCCTGACTTCAGGGTTCTGCCCAGCTGTCACATAGCTGGACAGCTGTGGTTTCCATGTCTGGGATTGTCTTGGAGAGAGAGAGAGAGAGAACAAATGAAGAAATGTGTCGTGGGTGTGATTGTGGGCATGAGTGTATGTGAACGTGAACGTGTAGTGTGTAATGTGTGAGAGATGAGTGGTATACGGCTGTAATGTGTGAGTGTGTAAAATAAGTGTTGTGTGTGATAGCGTAAGGTGTGCAGTGGGATGTTATGTGTGATGTTAGTGTGTGAATGATGTGTGAAATAATGATGTGTGTGATGTGTGAATATGGGTTGTGTGGCTGAGTGTATTGTGTTGTATGATTCATGAATGTATGCTGTGTAGTGTGAGTGTGTGATGTCTGAACACGTGGTGTGGGAATATGTGTGTTGTATGATTCATGAATGTGTGCTGTGTGGTGTGAGTGTGTGATGTGTGAACATGTGGTGTGTTAAGATGAGAATTGGCTTTGCTGTGGCTGGGGCCTGCCAGGAGGTGCTGAGGATGTGTGGGATGAGTGGGTAGGAGAGATTTTCACATCCTGTGTGGCCCAAATGAAACCCTCAGAAACATCACATTGGGTTGTTAAGAGCAAGAATTAGGGGTCTTAGGCTGTGTAGACAGGAAGTGAATATTTGGAGTCTCAAAACTTCCAGACCTTGGCTTGCCCAGTCTCTGCCTCCACATGCTGCCCCAGGGTCTCAGGGTTGAGCCCCAGGGAAGGCTGATGCCTGGCAAAATTGCAAAGTGGGAAAAGTTTACTGTCCTTCTCTTCTCCCTCTCCTATTTGTCTCCCACTTAACCTCATTTCTCCTTCCTGATTAAAGGGCTGCTGTATTTCCCTGGTGCTCCTAATGGAAGGGGGCTTGATGGTCAATGAGTAATCAGACAGCCCTAACCAGTTTGGCTCAGCTAGTAGAGCATCGGCCTGAGGACTGAAGGGTCCCAGGTTTGATTCTGGTCAAAAGCATGTACCTTGGTTGCAGGGAGTGCAGAAGGCAGCTGATTGATGTTTCTCACTCTCTATCCCTCTTCCTTCCTCTCTGAAAAATACCAATAAAATACATATTTTAAAAAAGACTCACCTTTATTGTAAATGACACTGTCAAATTCCAGTTTGAAAAAAAAAAAGAAGGAGAAGAAGGTATGGACAGGATGGAAAAATTCACAGCCCAATGACAGATAGATGGAGACAAATAATACCACATACACTGATACAGAGGACTTAGAACACTTCTTCTCTAGTCAAATTTAATGTCTAGTAACTTAGGCTTCATTAGCCTCCTTATGTTACAATGGGAGAATATTTCTCATAAAGTTTTGTGAGGATTGCAGGGATCAGCATTGCAAAGAGCTTCGCACGGGGCCTGTTGTAATGTCGGAGAGCAGTGGAGACTAGCCATGGTCATTAGGTGGGGATGGTAGTTATTGGTTCTGCTTGACTAATGCATCACCCTGCTTTGACCTCCTTGTGACAGGGCTCCCAAAGACCATCTTCTGGGCCTTTCTGGACTGAAGGCTGAGATCCTCAAGTGGCCCTTTCCATGACCCAAAGCTGCCCTCCCCAAAGAGGGTCTATGAGAATCCCGCTTCCTACTGGACTCACAAGGGAGCCCACCCAGGTAGAGGCACCTGGCTCAGCATTTCACAGTCCCTTCTTTCTAAGAACTTGGGTTGTAGACCTGGCAAACCCAGAATGAGCCGCTCCAGAGGAATAGGGCTTTAACCTTTACAGCAAGCTTACACGTGACTCTGCTGCAAGAAATGTAGCCTCAGTAGACAACAGTGTTTGTTGTTGTTTTTATTTCTTTCTTTCTCTTTTAAATCTAATCACTGTCCTCCAAGTGACTTTGGATCATACCTGGCCCTCCTTTCTAAAACCCATTGTTCTTTAAGTAGCATCTAGTGATATTCCTATGAGGGGAGTTTATTTATCTGGTAACTTGAGTTTTGATGAACAATTTCTTGATCTTGGAGGATACCCCAGGAAGGTATAGAATTCAAGGTCAAGTATTCTATGGATGCTTCACCAAGATTTTTTTTTAATGCTTAAAAGGAGCACTGGGTATGCAGCTTTCGGTTTGTTCTATTATAGTCTTAATTATGTTCTATTACACAGAGGTTTGGGGTCTTGACCATTGGTGGTGACTACTTTATTCTTTTATTGAATATCATCTTGGTCCCATTTGGAGGGAGTTTTATAGCTCTCCTCAGCCCAGTGTTGGAGATAGAAGAGACTTTTGCTTTAGATGCATGTTATGGGGTGCCTGAAAGTGGGATCCATGCAAACTGCTCTGAAAGCGTTCTCCTGGAAACAGAAGGTATGGGGGACAAATACAGTCTAAGCCTCTTTGGTGGAAATCATGGTCTTTAATTATTAATAAGTCACATTTTTCTTTGTTAGCAAGTGTGAGCTGATTGAGGTGCAGAGCTCAGCGGGAGAAAGCCCTTAAATTTTAGCTCTTTGGAGATCAGACCCTCCCTTGGCACCATCAAATACCCTCTTATCTTCCCTTCCACTTGATGCTCTTTTAATATAGGGGCTGTGAGTGTTGGACCATTCTCTTAGGTTCATGTGAGTGACAGAAAGGGAATCGGTTGTCTTCCCAGAGGTGGGGCTTGGGAAAGACCAGCTTCCATTTGCAATTTTGTCTTTCTCTACCCCTTCACTCCCTTCTGCTTGTTCTAGAATCCTGTTTTCATCAGGACAGCAGGGGCTCTTGTAGAGAGATCCCTGGCCAAGAAACAGGAGTCGCCAAATCATGTAACTCATTTGGTGCCCCTGAGCAAACCTCTTCAATTTTTTACCTTGTAAGAATGTGTATTTAAGATTCCTTGTATGTATGCCCATGTTACATGATCCCTAAAGCCTCAGGACTCCAGACATTTTCTGATTTCTCCCAATGTGGACAGAGAGGAGAGTGTACCTGATGAGGATTTCAGGTCGTAGTGAGTACAACACACCGAGAGGAGCTGTGGCCTCCAAGGACTCAGTGATGTTTACACAAAGGCTGCAGGTGGGTGTGCAGTGTCCCTGTTCATTCCACTAGGTGCCTGGGTTCTGGTGAGGATTAACATATATATGTGTGTTGTTGTTTTTTTAATTTTTATTTATTGATCAATTAGAGAGAGAGAGAAACATGGATTTATTGTTCCACTTATTTATGTATTCATTGATTGCATCTTATATGTGTCCTGTCCAGGGATGGAACCTGCAATCT